TGATATATGGCAGTGAAATTAATAGATTATGCCATATTGGTCCTCCGTAATGGCAACGCGTGATATCGCAAGCATCACATGATAACATGATATTATTCATAATGCTCGAGAGTATCACCAAAATAAACCAAATTATTAGAGAGTAACATAATATTTTTGGAACTAAATCCAATGAGCACTGCGTTTTATAGATAGAAATCTAGGATAATATATTTGTTATTTCTGTAACAAGATATCTCAACATAAAATAATACTAAATATGCCGTAGGCAAACGTTCAATAAAGTTGTGCAGGAATAGAACGGCAGGTAACTCACAAAGTGGTTTGAGATGCGGTTAGCAAATAATGAACGAGAAATATGAAAGTAATTCCGTAAAATTATTTTTCGAAAACCTGTATTTTAACTGATTCTATTACGTAATGTTGTGCAAGAAGTGAATAGTTGACAGACGTGCAAAACATTAAAATTAACATTAATAATTTAAAAAAGTTGAAATATATGTAGAATTACATTTCTAGATAACATTTCTTCAATATAACTTTCTTTAATTTTACCCAGCTACATTTTATATAAAGTTCTTTGCGTAAAAAAAGGTACCTGTGGGTAGAATAGGCAGGAAAAGAATATCAATTGCAAAATGCTAGCATGCGTCAATTTTGCTGTGCCCTCCCAGAGTCCATATACTCAAAATATAACGAAATCTGTATATAACAACGTGTTGCAGTAAAGGATGTGAATTTCAATTATTATATAAATAATAATTAAAATAATCAGTGGAAAATGTCTGATCAAATGACATAATGACACAGAACCTTTATTAAATGAGAGGTGTTTATTTATAGTCTCTACTTCCAGAGATATGTATACGCTCAAATGTAAAATTTCACCATCGCGGTCTACAACCCTCCACGATCCAGCTATACTAATATTAATAATTGCGAAAATGTGTCTGTTGCGTATTTACAGTTGAAAGTACCTTAATAAAATTTGACGTGAGGTAAATTGTATCACTAAGTGGAACGTAAGCTATTATTTTAAAAAATCAGAGTCAGTTGCGGTTAATGCTAGATTTCTATATTTGTTTTCTGCGGAAGGAATGAAGCAATACAATTACGACGTGCTCCCATCAAAATAAACGACATTACGCATTTACTGAAAGTAAAAGCCGTGTGTGAAACCGTCATCGTAAAACAATGACCTGCAATAAGAGTTGATAATATCGTCGCAAACGAGAGTGGCTTATTAAATATTAGAACTGAACAATAAGCCGACTGGTAAACTAAGCGCTCGTTAAGATGTTCTGATTGTTTTCTATGCAAGAATTTAGGAAAAAAAATAACGAACTATATTCACATAGTTTCTATTAAATAACATAAACCTTTATTTTGATTATATGTAGGTATTATAATGACATTTATTTATTTTAAAGAAAATTTTAGAAAAAGTGATATTTATGCCATTACAATATATTGGGCAACCTGGGTTTATATATATTTATTAAATTTTTAAAACAGATTTATTAATAAAAAGTGAAATTACATTACTCGTCACCTACTATGTCTATTTGGCAATCTACAGATATCTATATAATTTATTTTGGTACTACATATTCTCTAGACTCTGGCAAATATTATATAACTGACATACAATCGAACAATTCAAAATGAGTGTAATGAGATTAGAAGCATTAAAATAGCAGCATCTATGGAGCTCTCTTTGTCCTATTATGTCACGCGATCGCAATATACAAATTACGTATAGTGATTTGTCAGACTTCTATTAGCAGCGGTTACACAAGCAATAATTTAGCAGAATACCACTAGAAAACCGAGACTCGAGAGAAATGCCTACGCGCAAGTAAGCGTGAAAAATGCATTTCTTGGGTCACGATGACGCGGAAATTAGTTTTTCCTAGTATTATGACGAGGAAGGCTTTGTACAAAGTTACCTATGATACCATCAATTTCAGTCGCCAAGTAGTTTGTGTCGTAAGGTGTGTTTCAGTTTAGGAGTGACGGGAAATGGTGAAAGGGTTCCTCAGGAATCTGGTAATGAATGAGGGGTATTATTAGTCTGTGGTGTTCTATATAAGCAGATTTGGCATTTGTCATAAGTGCTATATGTTTAATTATTATTCCAGTTACATAAAAATAACCACCTTATTAAGCGCTGCGCGCCCCGAACCCTTCTGTGGTGTGCCTCGTTGCCTAAAACTGGGACATCTCAAATTAATAACCAAACGAGAAGCACTGAATCACTGGCAAGAAATGCCAGGATTAACACATTCAAAAGCCATAATATCGGGCTACTCGAACAAATACTCCAATAGACTACTGCTATTGAGTAAAAACAACATATGCATGATGACTAGGGCCCTCACAGGACACTGCAAATTGAACAAGCATATGGCCAAACTAGGCCTATGCACGACAAGTATCTGCAGAATCTGCCAAACTGAAGAGGAAACGCTGCTTCACATCCTATGTGGTTGTAGCCCACTCATGCATAAACGAAATATCTCCTTTGGAAAGTTTACATTCTTTCCCGAGGAGATAAAAACCATCGCTCCTAAGAATATCCTTCAATTCTTGTCCCTGACGGATCTAGGTAGCGAACTTTGGAAAAGGGCGAGCACAATAGATCTATGTAGGTCGCAGTGCTACAGGTGCTACAAACATCTGGCAATAGTCCAAACAACCCAATAAAAAAAAGCGCTGTAAGCACAGCTATGTCTATTGTATGTTAACACATATTGTGCCTTCAGTTCGGGACCTTTCGATATCAAGTGTCGTACTGTCAGTATCCAACCTTGGAAAATTGATACAAGTTCCCGAGTGATATTTCATTAAAAATCTATATTAAATTTTATCCTATTGTTTCTGAAAACGTGATATCATCAGTACCTAACACGAGCAAATATAAAAAAATAATTAATATATACCTACCAGTTGAGTTTCTTGTCAGTTTTTCTATGAATAAACTAAAATACCTAGCCGAAATAGATAGTAGGGATAGAAATAAAAGAAAATGATGTGCAGAAGTAGCAAAAAATATCAGAGTAAATGATTTTGCCATTATCAATGATTCCTGGATGACCATGATTATAAACAACAAGAACTAATAGAATTCCTGATGTGTCGTGCAATAATGTTAAAGCGATCATTAAGGAAATGCCAGTAAAACTGAAATAATGGTTGGAAATGAAGTATTGACAACAAAAAGTGACAGTTGTATTTTGTAAGTCTAATTTTTTCGGTAGGCAGCTACATACAAGACATCAAGTCTAGTATGTATTTATAACATACCATGTACATATGTAATTATACGTATACATGCGATCAGTATCTTCCTTTGAATTACTTCCAAAGTCGCCAAAGGACTAAAGAAAAGTGCACCGTAAATAACTACTACTTTATAAGTATGTTGAAATAAGTGTACTAAACTTGAAGGAAACGACCACAACAAAGCTAAATATAAATAATTATATAGTTATATAAATGGGATAATCTAAATATAAATTTGTACAATTTACATTTCTATGCAAATTGGTTGAGTGTCCGATAAAATATTTTTTGAATAATTACATGTATGAACATTGTAATTACAAATTTTTGTGATGCAATATGCACACTATATTTTAATCCTAATTTGATAATAGGTATAATCAGTAAAATAGAATGTTAATTCTACTTTTTTGCATATATCTGGATTTTATTACTATATAATGTGTTTGAAAGTGGTAATAGTCACCTGTGTATTACATTATAGATTATCAAACACATTAAAATTCATTTTGGAGTTTGTAAACTCCAAAATGAATTTTAATGTGTTTGATACACACCTCATGTGTTACCATTCTTGAGGATGTGTGTCGCCTCCGTATACTAATATTCTCTACCGAAAAAATAAAAAATAGCTTGCAATGTAAGAGGATATAACGTTAGTACTCACGAAAGAATACGCATGAGGGAAAACAGGCGGTCGTAATGTTCTTCATGTATATAGGTGACAGGTGACATTTTGCATCAGGTAGCTAGTCGGCTTGTTATACCATTCCGGTTTTAAATAAAGTCAGCTGCTTGGCGGTAGAAAATAGTTGAAAAATTTATGGTAAAAAAAAATAATGTAAGCTAAGTAGCTAGTGACAATAAAATTTGCCAAGTGAGATGGATATGAAGCGATGCATTCCACGGGGCTGGCAGTGCGACGCGCGCGCACATTCCGTTTCACATAATAGTAGATACATACGATACATCTTCGATAGATATGGAAATGAAACTAGTCTTGATTTCATTAATCAATGTTAGAGAAGAGAAGTAAAACAATAATACAAAACAATATAAATATTTGAATTCGTGAAATAATTAATAATTGGTTAAAAAGTAGTTTCGAAATTAATAAATGGTTGATGGTATTGATTAATTAATATTGTTGTCTCAAACACTTTAAAGCAATAAAAATATTCCAGATTACAACTTCTTATTTAATGGATTTATAAAAATGATTTAATTTGAGCTCTAGGTAAATATCGTTTTAGCAACACACCATCAATGTATTCATTTAGAAATTTTAGAAGGTGAAATGTAGAAATTAAAATGTACAAATATTGAATAACGAGACCGGTACATTAATGTATTCATTATAAACAATCTCGTCTACACCACATACCACCGTTAACTTTAAAATACTCTCATGCATGACAATCAAAACCTACTTTAATATTACATATATAATTGAATATAAAAATTCTTATAATATTTGGATGTATAAGTTTTATTAATATTTTAGCAATCAGAATACAGAATGATAAACATTATATGATGTATGGTATTAAATTTAACACAATTATATTAGATTATTAATTCTTATTTATATTATAGCAAGATCTAAACGATTGATTGACTTGATTAGAAAAAGTTATACTCAAAATATGTACTGGAAGTCAATACAAGCAGTCGTACTACAACCAATTTTCTGTGAACTCACTTGAACGCGCTGAGTCGCCGCGCGCTAACGTGTGCTGTGTCCGCTATATTCACTTTCACATTCAGAAACAGAAAAACGCGGGAAACCTGCATGAGAAATCTTGCATTTTTCCTGTCAGTACTATAATTGCTTTCGTGAAGTATCGACCGCCGCGATATCGGATTGTTTACAAATAGTAATGATGTGAAAATAAAAACAAAACGTTCTAGCCAATTGAATTGAGAGCCGGTTTTGAAAAATCAACAAATAGCGCACGTGAACGCGCTCGGTCCTTTGTTTTCTTCTTTTCTTTCTTTATCTCCACTCTTTCGCTTTCGACGATTTGCTTTGGAGCTCTTAATTTATGAGTTGCATAAAATTCGTGTAATTTTAAGTCCATATCGATAATATTCGAGAGTGTAGTGTCTGTTTAGTGGTTATTAATTTTGTGTGGACGTACTTTTGCGAGTGCGTTCGAAGTTTTTAAAGATTTTGTTGATATAATATGGGTGTTATTTGGAGAATCGCCATGCCCCTATTGAGCACGCTTGCCGCGCTGGTTATTATAGTACATTCTGCTGAGGAAGATTTGGATGCTGACTACCGATATGATTTGCGACCGAGAGCTTTAGATACAGGAACACCTAGTTATGATCAGGTAAGTTCAAATTATTCATATCTTTACTATACTTTAGTATTTTATTACGCGTTTATTGTTGTGTAAATAAAAAATGTGTATTTTTTTGTGGAGTATAGGACAACAATCCCTTTGTTTCTTTCTCAATAAAGTATGCATTTGGACTAGTCAGACTTAGTACAAAATCATATGCATTTCATACATAATTAAAAAGTATCCCTACCACAAAGTATTTCAAGTGTCTCGAGACATATTCATTAGGTTGCTTTATATGCGGTATAAGTTTGTATGAGATCGGAACTCGAGCGCTTTAGGGAGTGGTTTAAGGGTAAGATCCTTTGCCAATTACACAAAATATATCAACGCGGTCTACCGTCCTATCAATTTATTTGTCCTTTAGAATATATAGTTAATCATATCTTATCTTCAGCGATTGGTCTCACTTCGAATTCTATCTCATTAATAGACCAAGTCTTATAGGCCTTTTCGTAATGTAACTCTCAGACAAATAAGCTTAACTATTATATATAGAGTTTGGAACTTTCTGTCATAATAAGAAATTACTCCAAATAAAAGGTTCTAAACTATACAGTTCAACAGCTAAAATAGGTTTATTAGATCTTTTAGTTGAATAAGAGTTTAGGGAATTACATCTTATTCTGTTAGTAGGTATTCCTAATAAAAAAAAAAACCAGTCATATATTTAGTATCTTTGTAAAGAAAAGTTAGTAATAAGACTGTATGGGGAGCGAACATGTTGACCGGATATATATTATAGTCTAGATACTAGTCGGTCTAGAAATCAGGGCGGAGGCCTAGGTCGCTAAGTAGAGCGTGATATAAGTATAGTTTGTACATATAACAATTAGATATTGATGGATACGTTGTCATAATTAGGACGAGCATATGTTTTTTCTGTATTCTGTAAATAGTTGGATTTAATTTTCAATAATTTCAAACGAATATTTGCTGTCATTTTTAAGAAGATATAGTCAAATAATAAATGTATAACTATAAAATAACAAAGAACAATTCTAAGTAATGTATGGATGTCCTTTCGTAACCTCGTCTGGCGGCAATGGACGGATAAATTTCAACAAATGATAAGATGCAGCTAGATATATAAGTAGAAGTGTAAGTAAATTAGGCGGTACTGTCACGGGCATAGGTAGTCTATATATTGATATATAAAAATATTTTATTGTTCTAAATCATGCTTGACACTCTACTTGACAGATTTCATTCAACATTTTTTATTGCAGTAATACTAGGTTCTTAAGAAAAGAAAAATTAAGTAAATTGGAAAACTACATATAACTTTAAGACTATTTTAACTGTACGTACTCACTAAGACTAGACATTTGTCAGATAATATATGAATAAACTCGAATCATTGCGTTAAGTTAATATAAGTATGTTCGTGACTCCCATTCATGCTTATTGATTGCATGTATAGAGCTACAGTAAATAGTAATAATACTCAATACATGTCAGTCAGTTTGTATGACTAAGCTTTCTTGAAAGGAAATATAAATAAATGTCGTTCCTTTATTTTGAAAGAATTAAAATTAATTACGGATTAATATCTTTAGAACAATATCGTTAATAGAGAATCAAATCAGATAGACTAATGATGTCACTTTACAAGTAATTCTACAATATAATAGCGTAATATATAAAGTACAATATATGTAATTGTTCTTACTCTTCAAAAGATTCTTTGTCCTGAAACGGGAATCGAATCCCGACAGACTCAGCCGAAGTTTGACTAAAGTTGTATCTGTCTGGCAGGAGTTAACCTTCAGAAACTCTAGAAGGCTTACTGCGTGTATTTAGTGCTTTCTGCACTCGCCAACACATTTATCCGATGAAGTTGTAAAGCGTTAGAATAGTTCGAATAAAGAGTTTTGCAGGCATTTTGTCTCCATAACAAATTAATAACAGATAGCTATTTGATATATATATATATGTATACTGTGGAATTATAAATTTGATATCATATGATAAAGTTTTAAAATTCTAAATATAATGTTAGCACATGAACTACATAACAAATGAATAAAAGAATGGCAAACGTTCTTTTGTAGAATTGTTATTATTTGTATGTTTAAATTCTGATTAATTGTAATGACATTTTCCATAATCGCATCGTTAATATCTGTCAGCCAATAATATCTATTAAACTGACTTAAAAAATAAAGAGGTTTATCATTCGATTGTATTTTTTATGTGTGTTACTTCAAAACTTTTCTACTTGAACCTATTTAGATATATTTTAATTTGCTAGTACTTGTATGGTCATATATAAATTTTATCAAGATTTGATAAGTAGTTTTTTCGTGTAATTAGTAATTTAGTTATAGTCGTTGTTTCGTGGTTTCCACGTATAATAATTAAGGCAAATAAAACTAAGCAACTGTTGCGACTATTTGTTTTGTAGCAAATTTTTACAGACATTCGGTACTACAGTCTGACAACTTACTAACATAATATTGTTTTGTCATCAAATTAAACAGTTATGTTGAATTTAAACTCGATGACATACCAAAAAATACTTGAACAAGTGTACTTTACAAAGTAGAAAATCAGACAGTAAAATTTATTTTAGACAATTTTTACTACAAGACAACCATTTCACAGTATATTACACTTTAACATAATTTATGACATGTCTAATGGGACCGGATACAGGGGTTGTGTCAATGATCCGGACCTACGCAAAAACTGCTCCTCTTTCTATGTCTACAAAATTTAAAAGAAACTCCATAATGAACGCCCAATCTAATATTATAAAGTTAACAGTATGTCTGGTTGTCTGTTTGTTACTTTTTCACGACAAAGATCTTAATAAATAGGATGAAAATATCTTGTAGCAAATCCATTCTGTATATACGCTAACTCTTATCTCAGAAAAGCAGAGAAAGACGCGGGCCAACAACTAGTACACAATAAAATTATAAACGAAAATAAAAACAGTAGAAAAAGAAAGCAGAAAATATTTAGAATATTGTTTGATTTGAACTGTAGCTAATAACTGCGTAGAACCACAGGAGAGACAATAGTTGTAAGAAGTAGATCACAAAACTGGGAAGTTCATTGTACTTTTGAATAATTCTAAGTTGGTTCAGTGATTTGGGCACGCGCTGTGCCGTGGCGTAATTACGAATTTAATTAACACTATAGCGAAAAACATTAACTTAGATCTTATAATTTATTTCGGTAGGTAATCATTATAATATATGGCACTGACTGTTTCGTCTCGCGATTTCGTCCGCGTGGAATTTTACTTTTTATATCATTAAAATAAATAAAAATTCTAAACTAAAAATTACGTTATTCCTTATAATATTAGCTATCTGTGAGTAAAAGTTCCGACAAAATCGTTTCAGAGATTACGAAGAAAAAACAGACAAAACATTTTTGAGTTATTTTTATGTAAGTACCGTATATACTTTCATATCCATTTAGTGAAAAACTGTTAATTTTAAATTACAAACAGACACTCAATTTTATTTATTTGTATAGACATGTACTGTAATTAGTTCTTTTTAAAATGCATGACAAATGAACACAACAGCGACCATATTAAACTCAGACTAATAAAAACATGTATTCTTTATGGCATGACATAAGTACATTGTTTTATGTAAGTAATAATATATGTATGTTTGTTAGTACCTACTGCAATTATTATTTAAATCATATTCATCTGCCCATATAATTTAAACTTAGGTTTTTTTTCTTTATATAATCCTATAACGACATTTATGGTATTTATTTATTAATTGTGGTAAAACAAGACACTTCTATTTAATTTTAAATTGCATCAAACCACAATTAAAATGAAGTGCGTCTTATTAAAACCTAACAATATCCAATAGGTTTTCAAAAGTATCCTTGTGATGTTACAAAATAACCGCCACATTGTAATCATTAAAGTTATTCTTTTTATATTGTATTTTCTCAGTGTAATAAAAACTTTTACTTCGCATTATTATAGTAGATATCGTATTGCTAATAGTATATTATAAACTTAATAATATAAAGTGATTTGCATAAAATGTTTCAGATTTGATTAAGTTCACTTAACTCAAACAATTTGGGATTAACGAAACCGGTTCAGATTGTTCAAATTATACAACTAATCTAATAATCACGTTATGATACTCATTATACAAATTGCGTATTATGGCAGCGGTGCGAATGATCGGATCGTGTCACATCCGAGCGTCTCAAGTTCTATGCCGGCAAACCGGTATAAGCGCTTTCCACTTTCATCTTGCATTGTGTTATGCCATCAGTTTTGTAACAGCTTTCTTCGTTAGCGATGAGATAACTAATTTGTATTTGATCAAGTGCAATTAAACGGTTTAAGAGTTCATTTATTTTTAATTAACTGTATGATCTGATACAAATATTTAGATAGTTATATCATTCTTTATTGTTTACTGTTATGACTCCAAAGGACTTGTTAAGAGTTATTTTTTCATTTTAGAAATATTAATTTTTAGAATTATATTACACTAGCTTATACTCATTTTGTCTTTGACTGCACAAATTTTAATACACTATGACTCTTCCTCTCAAATAATTTTTTGACATAAAAAGCATTCTGGCCATCCACGTAATAAATAAACCTCATGTTAAATTTAATTAAAATCCGATTTAAAGGAAACAGACAGAAGTTACTTTTGCATTTATAATATTAATATAAACTAGTATAGACGATTTGTCCCACATAATTCACTCTGACACAATTAGTACCTATGCACAGAAACAAGATTAGAGTAAACCGGTTCCAAAAAGAATCATAGAATCAATTCAAACAAAACCACTGATAACCTTCTCACTTATTAAATACGTTGACAACAAGCACAAGTGAAAAATATATACTAGGAAATTAAAAAAGCAGTGCTAATTATGCGGTCTTCATCAAACTGAACAGGTCTGCTTTAAAGCGCGAAATTTGAAACTTTTCGTTTTACCTGATTTTTTTTAATTTAGTTTCAGTTATTAATAAAAAGTAATGCGTTTGTTAAATTTTATGATGATTGATTGAAATATTGTGGCGTTATAAGTATGTTAACGAAGTAAAAAATATATGTAAATATTGATAAATTTTTTAAAAGCCCTATTTTGGGATGTAATTAGTCTAACAGCTAGGGGAGGGTCTTCCCTTCACCCCAACGCTTCATTAGCCTAGGTTTGGTAAGACGATGTCTTTTCATGTGTAAGACCTTCTTAAACTTTGTACAAAGTTGTCTGTGTGAGACCTGTGAGTTACCAATTTAGCTGCTAACTAGGTTGCTTTGTATGTTACGTTTCGGTAAGAGGGTGAGACATGTCAGTGAAATTACAGGGTACGAAAATATGACATTGTAGTCCTCAAGAATGGCAATGCATGAGAGGTACCACGGGCGTCACATGATAACGTAATCTTAATTGGCGCTTTTCATGTTTGACAGCCTCTGTGGTTTAGCGGTTTACACAGCTTTAATTCCCATGGTCGCGGATTAGGTTCCTGGCACGGTACTTGTATTCATGAGTATGATTGTTTCTATTGGTTTCGGAGTTTACTATGTATATATTAAAAACATTAAGTATTTTACCACTTGTCTAGTAACTATAACAAGTTAAGCTTAGCTTAGTACTAGATGGCGTTGTGTGAATTATATTTGGTATTATTACATACTAGCTGTACCCGCGACTTCATCCGCGTGGATTTAACTTTTTTTTCTAAAATAAAAGTAGCCTAAGTTACTACTTATTATATCAGCTACCTGAAAAAAAAAGTCCCGTCATAATCGGTCCAGCCATTTCAGAGATTAGCCGGAACAAACAGACAGACGGACAAAAATTTAAAAAAATGTTAATTTGGTGTATGTACCTGTATTTATATTCATATGTATGTAGTAAAAAACGGTTATTTCAATATTACAAACAGACACTCCAATTTTATTTATATGTATGTATAGATATAGGCGATGATTGTCACTTTTTTTCAGATGCGCCGTCAGGTTGTTTGCCATTACTGTCACCTACATAACGTAAACTGGTTCAAATCGTAAAACTACCCACGCTTGGTCTACTCATAATCACATATTATATCTTATACAGGCGCATTGCACTTGTTATTTCTTTATTACTATAAAAGGATAACAATACGCTCCGTTTATTAGGGTTATTAGTGCCCAACCTAATGTAGTTTGGAAGCCATATGTTTTGTATGACACAGACAGATATAGAGTATTATTAACAATATCCGGTTGGGTTATTCAGATCATAAGACACTATTTCAACATCAGGCTAAATGGGAGCGATATGCATCTGTGTATTATTACTTTATATAAAAGCTTTTTTACTTAGATGTGGCTTGTTAAGCGTTACGTTTTTGTAATCTATACATCTATACCTACATATAAATAAAATTGAAGTGTCTGTTTGTAATATTCAGATAACAGTTTTTTACTATATGTATATGAATGTAAATACGGTACATGTACCAAAATAACATTTTTTTCAATTTTTGTCTGTCTGTCTGTCGGTCTGTTTGTTCTGGCTAATGTCTGAAATGGCTATACCAATTTTGACGGGAATTTTGTGGCCGGTAGCTTAAGGAATAATTTAGGCTACTTTTATTTTAGAAAAAAAAATTCCTCGTGGACGAAGTCGCGGGTACAGCTAGTTTTTATTCAATATTAAGTAAATTTCAATACGTATTACTTAATATTATTTAATAATATTTCAATATTTAGGTGGGCGACTCGGACTCTGATTTTATTGGTATTTTAATTATAACATTAAACTTTGAATATATCTTTGTTTAGATAAAAATTAAGAAATTAATAATATTCTGAAATACTTAATGACTATCCTTAGATTATATATTATATTAAGAATATACTACTCTGATAAGTTAAGTCTACGAGAGGAAGATAGGGGATGTAATGTTGTATGAAAGTAGGAACATAATTTTGAGAGTGATTTAAAATTGACTCTTGGGCTTTAGTTCTCAGACTAAAAAAATGACGCTTAAATATATTTGAAAGACCACTTCTTGGGGAGACAAGACAAGATATAAAAAATTATACAGCGTAATCTAATGTAAAACAAAGTCACTGCCCGCGTTTGATCGGCCGCTTACCTACTTCTTAACCATTTTGATTTATGATATATTTAGGTTTCATTATCATTCCAATTTCTTTAATAATACAATCGTTTGTTTTGTCTGACTTATCAACGCTCTGCCAAAATTGCTAATATATTTGGTACATTTTATAACGTAACGATCCGCTTAAAAAAGGATTTTCGAATAGGTCAATTAAAAGAAAGGTTAAAGTTGTAAAGCAGCAGAATACTGGTAATATCATTGAACTTGGGATGGCCGCTGTTTCACTAGCTTGAAATTTATAGCCTATGTGTATGTATTCTCTTGTATAATTAATATGCTATATTATTGTAAAGATTCATTTAAATCCATTAAGTCGTTTTTGCGTATAAGACTAACTAACATCTAGATTGATGTTAGTTACTCTTCCATCCTCACTCACAAACTTCCGCGTTTAGAATATTAGTAAGATTGAATATTACATAACTGAATCTCAATATTATGAAGTATATATTGTTCATTTATTTAATAATAATCAATACCTATATACCAACACATATGTAATAATCAATAATTTGATTTTGCCTACAATGCCTGTAACAATAACTGACACGACGCTTTCTACATTATAGCATCCACGATTGATTGCCTTTGCCTATTTATACGATGCATACGTAATTGGATTTTAATTACACCATAGTACTAACGTTTTTGTCGAATATTCAACAAAGTCCACGAGAGTTTCACACGCGACTCGAAAAACTTTTTATATGATTAACAAACACATTGAGTGTATATGGAGCGAGTCGTCTAAACGTTTACGTAATGGAGGTGTTGTTACCTTTCAAAAGACACATAAGAAATTGTGCGACGGTGAGATGTCGCGTATGTCTGTAATACGCGAGTACATATATAATGTTATGTATTACATGGTACTTACTGAAGTATTTATAGTGTTTAATCTAACAATTTCAACTAAATTTGATACAACCAGATGTATACGGCTTTGTGCAAAGTCAGCTTGGGTACCATTTTTGTCTCACTAGCTCTTGCAACGTGCTTTGAAAATTAAGCATGACTTAAAACTAAAGAAGAAGAATATAGAGTTCAAATGATCATATACTATTTCTGAAGATTTGTTCATCCTATTTGCAATTTAGGTTTTTTAATGATGAAATAATTACAAAATTTATTTGCTATACTAAATAATATTAATTTTATTTCTTTTCAGCCATGGAGAGTAGTACAGTCCGAATCTATGCTACATGAATCTACATCTCCAGACTGGGACATAGGTACATCCGACGAAACTCCTAAACGCCGTAGACCTGGGCGTAAGCGAAAGCGTCGTCCCATAGAAACGTCTACAGAAGATGATGTACAAGATAAATATACCTATCCAGATGAAACGTCTCCATCCAATGATGAAACTAAATATACTAATCCTTATGAAGTAACCGATCCACCCCGGAGAAGACGTAAAAAAATAAATACAAGAAGTAATCGGTGGGCCGATGACAATTTAGATCCAGAAAAACCTGTGCGTAGAAGAGGGTACAGAAGAAAACGACCGACTCTTGAAACTTGGCCAGAATTAGCTGGATATCGAGCAGTTTCGTCCTCTGCGGAAGCTGAAAAATTAGTAAGCGAAAAAGATATGCATATGGACAGTAACGTGTATAATAATGAATACCGTGTTAGTCTAGTCGATAAAAGTAAAATGGAAAAAGATGAAAACAGAGAATTTAATTCAGATGTTTCACCAGCACCTGAGAATAGAGCAGTGTTACATGTAGACACAAAGGATAACGAGCAGAAAACACAAATGCAAGAAGATAAATCTATGTCAGAGCTCTCTTCTGAAACATTTTCGGAATTACAACTAAAAGGGGAAAACGATATCATAAATATACAGAAACATTTTAAGGAAAAGTCACCGACAGCTGAAAACGATTTAGATAAATTACAGGTAAACTACATGTTATTTTAATTTTTATGCTGTACATTATTCAATGAGAAAAGTTTTTTATTAATATGTTTTTAATAAACTTAAAACAATTAGTTAAGACGCTCGTGACAAAGATATATTTACGCACGTCCATAAGCGGCGCGTAATCGATTTTTAAAAATTAAAATATAAATCTATTTTTTACACTCCAACTTAGCAGTGGCATTAAAACACACTCTTATAGTATTATAAACTTGATAGAGTAATTAAAGAATTATTATAGAGTTCATAATTGTAGAGGTTGAGAGACAACTTACTTGAAGAAGTGCAATAGTTTTAGTTATTCTTATTCTATAATAGCATGACATTTTAAGTTTGTAATTTTTCATTTTCAGAGGATATTTTTTGGAGTATAAGTGCATTTTATTAAAGTCATTGTGTGCTTGCAATACAATTAACCGTGCAAAACAATAATTGTAAAATATATAAACAGTATTACAATATTACATAATTTAAGATTCTTCTATGTTACTCGTATAATATATGTATAAGTGTTGTCTGACAGAGATTGTTTTAAGCGATAAGGCAACGTTTTGTTTAGCATATTTCTATTAACTTCTTTTGTTTGGAAATATTTTGGTGTGTACAATAAAGAGTTATATTATTATTTAGATACTACCTACATAGTAATACAACTTAGTTAATAAATTATTATGCTATTAAATATTTTGTTAATAAATAAAATTAATTTTCAGGATAGCGGCCCAATTGACCCACAAAATTTAAAAGACATTCTAAAAAGGTCTAATGGGACCAGTTTAAGTGAAATACTGCAACAACATAATTTGTCTCTTGGTGATTTACTTCATGGAAAAGAAAATGTTTTGTCAATACTAAAATCGACGGCACCATCATCTCAAATAGAAAAAAGTAGGCCAGTGCTAAATACTGAATCACCTTTAGTTACTAACGAGGAAATAGAACAAAGTTTAAAAATATTACCATCACTGAATGATCAATCCGAAAATATAACTATAAATACGCATGGTGCAACTAAAAACTCAATGCCAAAAACAGATAATAACAATAGTGAAGACTTAACTAACTTAACTTCTATATATTCAAAACAGGAGACAAATATTAAGGAAAATGTAAGAAGTAAACAAAATAGAACCCGGTTTCTAAATAGACGACGTTTTCCGCCAGGAATTCGCAAGAGGTTAAGGATGAGGCCAATGCTAAATAATACATTAAAAGGTCAGTTAAGTAGAGATATGATGGCAATAAACGTGAAGAGATATTACAATAGACGAAATGATACAAAATCACAACGATGGAAGGAGATATTACCTTTGTTAAAAAACGTTAGTATAGATAATGAAATAGAACTAAACACGGAAAATATTGAAACGACAACAATACTCATTACTACTGAGGATATAACAACGATTTTAGATACAGAAACATATCTTTCTACAGTTACAGACGATATTAATGCAAATGTTAATGATATCAGCCAAGGGAGTGAAATATCAAACATAGCCACAACAGAATCTAATACGCCAGGAACAGAAACCACAGAAACTGTTACAGAATTTAACTTAACAGAAAAACCATTAATAACCTCAAATATTCCGGTACTCAATACTCCCACTATAAGACGACAAACCTATAATAATATACTAAAAAAGAAACGATTAAAACAAAAGAATTCTACAGCTGCAACACCTCGAGAGAATTTAGTAATAATTGGCAGTGATAATACAATGTCAGCATCGGAATTTACTGCTAAAACTACATCACATCCGAATACAATAGACGAGAGGCAAGATTTTTCAACATTGGAAGACTTCTTAACTACAGAGTATTCCAAAAACGTTGAAAGCAGTACTCTACATGTACCTTACTTAAAAAGAACTTTCTCAAATAAACCTTCAACACACAGAATTCCATTATTAAGTACTACAGAACAAACCGCCAAATTCGAAATAGAGGAAATATTAAATGACACACGCAGTAAGTATATAAAATTTGTAGTTATTTTTAGTTATAGTAGTTATCTACATAAATTATTTTTGTGACTTATGATATTTTATTAATTTGATTACAGCAAGTGTGAAACTCTCGAAAATATTGATGGAAAGAAATATGACTATAAATGAACTTGTACAACACAGAGAACGAGGATCAAGTCATGTTCATTTGGCAGACATATTTCATAATGCATCTAGAGAGCCGAACCCCCCGGAGCCTTTCCTTTCTAAATCTCTTATAGAACCAATATCAAAAGAAACATATCCACTAAGAGCATTATTAGAAGCCAATTTACATGATCCAATAACTAAAGCTACAACAATAGATCCTTTACAATTGCAAAATAAGTATCTGAATATACCTGTGGTCATGGATTTCGGTAATAATGTTAATGAAAATGCAGAAAACATGGGTATAATGTCACTATTCAATAATTTCACAAGTACTGACACAAGTACTCATAAAGTTTTACAAAAAGATTCCCAAGGGACATTATATGAATCGTCTGTAACAAATGTTAATTCCACAAATATAAATGACCGGGAGGGACGTATGTTAAATGACAGTCAAGATTTAACAAGCTGGAAACAAATATTTGCAATGATTAGAAAAATTGGTAACAACCAAACAGACAAAGTTATAGATACCTATGCAAAAGGTAATATATGAAATAAGTGATAAATATATTTCTATTTATACTCAGCACTTGTAAGACAATTTTATATATTTTATTGATTTATTTATTATTACTATTTTCCTGCTCATTACAAAATGATTAATATGCTCACCAAAAAAAGGTTACACCTGGTGAGTGTCTTTCTTTCTATGTCTAATACATATAATATATTACAGAATAACTATTAACAATTACAATTAAATTCATGTAGAAATAATTGAGTTTAACCACATATGTACATATCTATAAAAAATAACATGGAAATAACATTTCTTTAATGTTACCTACATTCATAATAATTTAACAATTCCATTTCATTAAATATTTGGTCATTATTTCTTAATGGTGAATAATTCTTAAAGTAATATGAAAATAGTAATTCATTCAATTTAATTCTAATAAACATATCACACTATAGAACTAATATATTATAACAATTGAGGTATAATATTATATGAATGGTTTTAATAACTTCTATATTCTATTATCATCATCAATAATGATGATAATAACTTCTATTATCCTTTCCTAAATAATACCTCTAACTCTGTGATCTTATTCTTATATTATTTTATTTTGTAGCATAATATTTAGAGTATGAGACAGATTAGATATATTTAAGTTATTCTTGTTATAACATAATAAGATTACAATTACATGCATGACAATTTTGGTTCAAATCTGGATCGCCGTAACATATGAAGACAGTGGAAAAAAGCACATATATGAGAGTGAACAGTAAAAATAAAGGTCTATACCAAGCCACTCCGTTACTGACGCCGTAGTAGGCTACTATATATACTATGAACAGAGAACCGTTTATAGTATGGTGTTATTGGTCTACTATTATTTAAATAATTAATACTATAATTTATACAATGTTCAGTATATTATTATTATTCAAATCAATCAATATCTATAATTATGTCTATTGCATATCACATAGGACTAATTGTAAAAAATTGTAATATCAAATACTTAAGAAAAAAAAATGTAATTCATTAATACAAATTCAAGTGGTATTATATTTTTAATGTTGTACTGCAAATATGGTTAGTTTTAGACAACCTTATTTCCCTCATTCAGTATACAATATAATTTCAGTTATAAAAACATTAATTTAATATGACAATATTTCAGAATTATCGCCCACAGAGAACTATAAGGATATATTACAAGAAGACCTTGATGGAGATGGATTGATAGTATTGGAGGATCTGCAACATCTTAGAGATTTTGATAGCAATATAGCACCAGATTCCATTGAAAAGCTACAAGTTAATTCTTATCAAGGAATAGATGTGCCTACAAATATAGGTATATTTGATAAAATACCGAACAGCACAAAGTCGGTTACAGTTGCCACTTTAAGTATAGTAGGTCTAGCAACAATTTTGTTCCTATTGACATATGCTGCATTTAAGTGGCGTCAACAGAAAAAAATTCATAAAAAGCGCAGTTTCAGCGATGAAAGAATTCCAACTCCAGTTTTTGAAAATAGAAAGGGCAATAAAAACAACAGTAGTACTCGAAGTATCAGTCCTATGCTTTCATCTTCTAACATTTATACAATGAATACAATAGATTCACGTAATGGAAAGGACTCTCCTGAATATATGTGGGACACATTGAGAAAACCATTTCAATAAACAGAAATATGTCAAAGTATTAGACTGAGCTTGTAAGTATAAGGTTTCATAATACTGTGTTATGTTAATTCAGAATTAATAAGGGCCTTTTTCACAATTAGTAATTAGATAAATAATTATGACTTATAATGTGAAAAAGACCATCATGTATTGATTTAATGTAATGTTAAACTAGTGACCTGATTTATATATATATTTTAAGTAGGTAGTGTAGTAACAGAGTATACATGGGTGTCTTTTATATATCCCTGAACTATTAATAATATTAAAATTTTAAAGCAAATGAAATTCTATATGTTTACCTATTATGAATTATTTTTAGGTTTTAATTTATTTAACTTTTGCTAAATTTTGATCTTCAGTATTATGCGAGTGCAATGTGAAATATGAAATATAATTTTTGTATATTTTCCCATTTCATATCTTCAGTTTAGAATTAAATAAACACATTAATTTTACCTTGAAACTTTTCTATTACTTTCTTACCTGTAGTTCTCAAATGTGAAGATTTCTTGAAGATCTTTTAAGACTGGTATATTCAAGGTATGTATTTTATTGTAGAAATATGCATATTGTCTTGCTATACTTTTATAAAGTTTTAGGGCTGATTCAAAGGCTGGAGATGGCTGTGAAAAACGAATTAAAACAAATTATAACAACAATATTCAATAACAGCATTCACATATTATTAAAATGTTACCCTAAGTCGAGTGAATCTAAATCAATTGAAAGTACAATAAATAACTTATGTTTTTATTGTATGAATTGATAGTGGCAATATTAACCATGAATTCACTTGAATAAGCAACGTGTCATATATTTAAGGAAAATCATGCAACATAATATTTGAAAAATGGTATGTATCAATATATTTACAGGAACATAATGGACATATATGATTATCAGTTGAATATGCAATTTTCTAGCTATAGTTTTTGTGGCAGAACTTCATTTATTGGTCAGTTTTAATATTTTGAATACTATTGGTCCAATCTTACTTGCAATATTAAATAAATACCTGTTTTTGATCAATGAAAAACTATGACAAATAAAAATATTTATATGTTTTAAAGAGGTTCAGTTATTGAAATTAAAACTGATATGATTATATACAGAATTACAATTATTAGTGTTTTCTTCAGCCAAAGTTTTTATTTATAAGAAATTAAAAAAATATTACCCTGAGTTCAGATAATTCTTCAGAAGTGAAATAAAGTATAGTGGAGTATTTTTCTGGCAAAATGTCAATGTATGGTTTCCAAAAAGAATCTGAAATTATAAAGAAGCAATGAATTAGTTTTTTTATTATTTAAAATAGTAATCTTTTAGTTATATATATATTTAAATGACATGTAATATAAATAAAAAATAATGATACAGAGATCACTAAAGGCAAACTTTTAAGTTTTTAATCAACAGTAATATACTGTTACACTTACAGTAATACAGTATTTCCTCAATAAAGGCTTATTAAATTTATTACTACATTGCAGTAGTATTTGATTTTACTATAATTTCATATGATAATTACAATAATTTTACTTTATAAGTGTGATCTTATTTTCTAACTATGTAGTTGCTAATTTAAATAAGTTTATATTACTATGGTGCTAAGAATAGCTTTACATTGTTTAATTAATTTCAAGTGTAGTACTGTATTACTCATGATCCACAACAAATGCTGTAAGGTGCATTAGTCATAAATAAATAAATAAAAGGTAGTCATTCTAAATTTGAACTAATACATCAATACTTTTAATAATGTAATTAGGTAAATTATGCAATGGCCAAATAGGCAATTTCAGTATATTTTTTAAAATAGAAGAGTAGAGTCCTGATAGTTCCTGGAAACAAACTATTGAAGCAATATGATTTTACAGTATTTCTTATCTTGCCAATATATGAACATTATAATAAAGTCAGTTTTAATTTTTATTATGATACACAAAATTAGAAAAATATATTTTCTAATAATTATTTATCAGCAACTTCAAGTACCAAACCAATTTGAAATATAGTAAGTTATACTTATGCAAAGCCTAGTACTGTTTAAGGCTATAGTAACCATTAACCATCATATGGGCCTTATTTGTTTGCCACCATTCTGGTATAAAAACATTAAATACTATAAATTATTTAACTACTAAGAATTACCTGGTTTATTTTTTTCCAATAATAAAAATAATGACAATGTTATGTTGGGCATGTTTTGAAGGAGTGGATCCACATTAATAAAAGGTGACAGTTCAGATTCCCTGGCATTCTGCTCAGTCAACATTAGCTTACTCGGCACCATCAGCAATAAGGAACCCTCGCTGAAGTTTTTGGTTGCTTTCAATCCAAGTTCATAGCCCTCAAATTCACTTATCTCCAGTCCTGTTTTATTAAAAAAAAAACAAGTATGTACAATAACAAATACGTAAGTAATTAGAATAATTTGTATTGAAACTGTATACAATTTATATTCTAGACTTACTGTCATATATTAATTTAAAACCAAAGTGCAATTGAACATAGAAATATGATAAAAATAAGGCTAAATATTGCACTGTGTGCTTAAATTGAATCTGGATACATTTGCATATATGTGATATTTACCATACCCTTGTGATAAAGACCCATTTCCAAAAGTGGAACGGGTCTTGTATCACATTCAACAACACTTTAGTCATAATAATGATGATAATGCATCTGTAGTATAAAACTCGTATAAGACTTGATGTTCAGTTACATGTACATATAGTTTACAAATTCAAATACATACTATGTTTATCATTATAATAATTTAACTATAATTAAGAATTTTTACCTTCAAAAATGGCTCCATTTTCATTTAACCATTTCAAAAAATTTTCTATGTTGAAGTGACGTGGATTTTGTTTAGTTTTAGTATTGAAATGAGTTTCTATGTTTATAATTTCTTTAATGATAGCTTCAATTTGTTTGTAATGCTCCCAACTGTTCGCAATGTTAGAGCCTTGAGTTATAATGCTTGAAAGTCGAAGTAATTTATCCACAAGAACGGCAAGCACTTTGCGTTTTTGTATTATCCTGTTATTTTCTTTATCATTCTTCTTAGAACTTAGTTTTGACTGTGACTTTCTCCCCATTTTGTTGAATATAGTAATGCAATAATATAGGCTATTAATAATAAAGAAAATGTATGTTAACAGGAGATTTATGGAAATGTAAAACGTGAGAAAAAGACTATAAATAGTTTTAAAATTTGAAATATTTGGCCATTTAAAAGTGAAGTAAAATGAAAGATGAGACGAACTTTACTTACTGACTGAAACTGACAGTCAATGGCTGTCAGTGACAAGTCAATCACTTAAAATATTATTTTTTTGCTTAAATAGGCAAAGAAATGAATATATACAAACATATTTTCATAATATTTTATTTTATTTATTTATAGTATTCCAATTTTTACTAAAGTGCATTTTATTGTTTCCTGCTTAATTTAATTATGTCAAGGTAAGTATCAAGTTAAATGCTTCCTTCGTTATTCCTTCTGTAATTGCTTAATTTTTATTGATCGACTATTAAGGTACAAGTCAAGGACAGCATTTAGTATAAAAAGTTTTGTGCTAGAAATAGCTAGAATATTCTAGAATGTTTTACGTCAATATTATGTGACATTATCATGCATAATATCTCTATATAGTTTGTGACATAATCTATAGACGAAGTTTTATGTACCTATTATTATTAGTTAATAACAAATGATAAAGGAAGTGTGCATCTGTCTGCGTTAAAGGTATACCTTGACATCGTACCAGTAGGTGATACTATGATTAGCATGAGGTCAAGGTCGGTAAATTAACCATGCTAGTTTAATATTACAGATAACATAAATTATCCATGCAAACTTTTGAACATCTGCTCCGTAATTGCGCCACATTTGAAATGACCCAGCATTAGCACGAGCGAGCTTGCTGTTTGTATGGGATTAACTCCCCTTATAATTTGAAGAGCGTCATTAGGAAGCCAGAACCTTTAGCTTCTTATAATGCAGTGCCTAAAACTCTTGTTTACAAGTTAAAGAAGATAAACATTATAAATGTACGCTGCATACATACGTAAACATATATATTAAATCTATATGTACATTATGTACATTAATATTACATTTTATGCATTATAAGTATTAAATATAAATATAAAAATATGTATGTTCTTCAGCGAATTAACAGCATTAATAAAACTTCTGCTACATCAAATCGCAGTAGCTTAAGAATAATATATCCAATTCTATGAATTAATAAAAATTGAGAAACGATTGAAACTACGAGTATGTATATAATAAAATCGCCATCTTTTTTACTAGAGGAACCACGTGGAAGTTGACCAGACATGATCGGTATTATAAAAATAATACACCCATATATTTTTATCGTTACTGCCTCATGGTCCGATAGTCTCGAATTCGATCCCCACATAAACATTTTATTTTATCTTATTTATAAACATATCGATTTATAAATAAGATAAAATAAAATGTTTGCGTTACGTTTGAGTTAATCTGGTTATTCTTAGTAACTATTCATAAGAAGATGCATTTGTAGTGCTAACCTTATAACTGACACAACTCCCTGCTAGGGGAGAGAAGGTTGGGGCTTCTGGGATGACTCCTTTGCCTTTGGATGGGTAGCTGTGTTGTAAGCTTCTTAGGGCGGAGATTAACTTGTAAGGAAAACTAAATTAAACAAATAAAGTGAACTTAACCTAACTTAAACTTATACTTTATGAGTATTATAAATGTTACTATATTTATTTTTAGTGTTCTAACTTATTTTTTTTCCTAGTACTTTAGAAGCTGTACTTTACTTCGGTATACTAGATGGCGCTGTGGGACATGCTCTATTTATTTATTAAAAAGGCGTTGCAAACAAATAATTTTATCTTAAAATCGTCCGTTACGAGACAATGTCATAGTCGATTAGACATTGACTGTTAAACTTTGTCTGGCAGTGGCAATGATGCCGCGCTCACTTGGCAGCCACGCGCTCTGTTCCTCGAAAAGTTATTTGAAACCGCCCCAGATTTCGGATTATGAAAGAATTGCCCTCTAATTTATTTGCTAAATAATAAACGTTTCATCTGGTAAGTAGCATTACGATGTCAAAATAACTAAGATTGCATATATTTTATTTAAATTCATTTAGGCGTCTTATATCTGCCGACAAGCAGCTTGCTGTGTTTAAGGGTGAGATGCGGCATCGAAATAATAGGTCTTATGGATGATAATGGGATGCACCTGCTTGCGCTAACGGTATACGCTACCGGGTCACCAGTGGAAGATGTTAAGATGAACATGAGATCAGGTCAGTTAGCACATCGTGACAAATTCACCATGAATTTATCACGATGATTCCCAGGGGTTACCGCGTGGAGGTTAACCTGATATGGTACATTGTTAGCAATGGGGTTAAAAGTCCACATTAGTATCAACCCCCTTCCCCCTCCAAATTAAAAGGACATAACACCCCGTCATACTTTTCCGGAATAACAACACATGAGAGGTACAAAGACTTAGCATGATGGTTTTGGTGTCCGTGGATATTCCACCCATTTACCATTATTGTTAAATTAAAAAGGAAAATATTTCTGCAATTATTAATATTATTATTTTCACTGTTGTCTCATTTTCTTAGCTCATTATTATTATGTACTAGATATTACCTATCGTATTAGTTAATGGATTAATATGGTAAGCACTAGTAATTAATTATTATTATTGTTTTCATGGATCGCATGGAGGTCGATATGTTCGTATCATCTATTAACTGTGATTATTAGTAATGGAACCACTAATTTTCATTATCATGGACCTGGACATTACCATAAACCCATGCATCCTACTATTTATACCACCTACTTAGATTTGGTTTCGTAAAATGTCGATTTAAAAACTTTTAACATATCAATTGATTCGAGTAAACTTATTATATGTGTTTAGCTTACAACTAAAAATATGGATAGAATACTTCTTTTGTACGTTAAACATTTGTATTATTTTGCGAAGTCTGGCTATATTTATATAAATAAAATATATGTATAGCCACAATATCATCATAGGCTCACCATTCATGGTTAATGAAAAATATGTAGTTGGTATATATAATATTTAAAGCCCAAATTCAGTACGCTTAAGTTATTAAGTATGCTTCTATGCAACGGATGCAGCAACCCGGGTTTTGTATAAAGATAATACTTTGTCCGTTATCGCATTATAATCTGTCTACAAGTCAAGAGTAATTAAGATCCATTCAGCCATCTAGGCACGAAATGGTTATAAACAATCAAACTATCGCATTTATAATATTACTATGAAATTATTAGTTTGTCTTAGGAAACTGTCTACGTATGTATATATATTTAACAAACAATCTGCTTTGAATCATTAATTTACGATACCTATACAATTTTTATTGACAAAAAACTCATATGCCAACAGAAAGGAACTGAAACTCTGCTTTTAAAAACCTTCAATTTAATTATGTTTAACTTTTCGGCAATGAGTTACTTTTACAAAAGGTTTACTGTTCGCAAACCTTTATCGTGCTTCATAATATTTAGGTTCCTTTGTATAGATAATGCTAGAGTGGTTCACACTGCGAGAGTTGTCACATGTTCACACTACATATGAGATAGTAATCTCATATGTAACGGTTTTCACTTTTACAAGTTTTAACTTGCACAATAATACTGTTTAAAAGTCATTTAATAGCAGTGGCATTGTATACAGTCAAAATTTATATATTTTTTAAATATTCCTTATAAGACTATAATTGAAATATTACAGACTTGTAATATGAATTGGATAATTTGAATGTATCGAACGTACTGTATACATAAGTAGAGTTTTAAATATACAAAATATATTAGTAAAAAAATATTAATTATGTACGGAAATCACTAAATGAGTATTTAGTATTTTCATTGAGTAATTATGCATGGTTTATTCCCTTTCGTTGAACTCTTTAGTTTTGCTTCTTTATTAGCATCGTACAGTCCCATTATGATACTATTTGACATTTTTAAGAACAAAGTGTTAATATTATACTTACTATTAGACATATCAGCTTTATTTTTGTACTTGTAATCAGTCAGGTATTCACATTAGTTTCAATTCTTTAGTCTCGCTAATATATATATATATATATATATAAGTCAAGTTAGGATTACATCTGCAATATCTCTGCTGTTGTAGACGCAGATGCGTCGTATGTTCGGTAGCAACCTGGTGCTATAAAAAGCCATTTAACACAGACAATGTTCCGAGGTAGATCTTGTAAAAAGTCGTTTGTGTCTCAAATCTCACTTATTTTATCCGAGAAGCAGCTTTGTAAGAAGTGCTGAATTTACAAGATAGAGTGGCAACGCAGGAGTGTTATAACGGGCGTCATATGCTAACGTGATGACCGTGGTACATTTCATACCCGTACATGTACCCCACCGATCAATCTCCCGTTCAACCTCCCGTCCAATTCAAACTACGACGGACTGAGTCGAGGTTTGAACCCCTAACAGTACCCTAAGACTAAAGTAGTATCCGTCAGACGGGAATTGACCTTCAGCCGCTTCATAAATCTTTCCAGGGCTTTGGAGTGCCATCTGCACTCGCCCCATATCGTCCGGCGAAGCTGTAAAGACCAGCTGCCTGTGGCCAACAGAATTCGAGTAGACCAAAAAAATTTATCATATTAGTAAATAGGCGACGGCCATTTAACATCCAATGTAATTATTTAAAAAAAATAATTTAGTGATCATTCACATAATAATAATATATTATTTGTAGAACCATCATATAAACATAACTGTCCATTTTATATACGGGTACTGTGGCATGTCGAATCGCAAGAATTCCTATGCGAAACACCTTTCATAATGAAGTCAGCACTAGACCTAGGTTAGGTTTAAAGTTTCTCCGCGTAGTCTAATGCCTATAATGCGTTGAAACATTTAAGCTGGTTGAGAATTCTATTACAGGCTATGAGCTCAGAACTCGTGGAATATATTAGCGACGCGTGAACTTTATGCAAAGCTTAATATCTTATACCGTTTAAAGGCGGTTAAGTGCTTCAAAGAATTTAATTTAAGTAGGCATAAATGCGTAAATAACATACCTGTTCAATTAATTTTATTGTTGCTTTTATAGATTTTGTAATTGCATTACCTATATAAGTACGTAGATGATGTTTGAGCTGCATTGAGAGTTGGCTTCCTTATTCAGTTGACATTTATATAAAATTCTTATGT